TCATCGGAAAGTTAGTGAGGCACCCAAACACCTTTATGGAGATTTCCCATATTCCTTCGATGTTTACATATTGTTTCATAAGAGACATGCAATTTCAGGGTCATTTCACAAGTGTGTTGCCTTGGGTTAGATTCAACAAGCGTTTTCAGAGCATCAATATCAATTCCATCATGTCGGCCATCACAGTTTTTAAGGTTAAAGTCACCTGAACGAAATTTGCTGAACCATCGTTGACACTTACGAACGTTCAAAACATTTCCATAAACTTCTTTGATATTATTTATGGCTCCAGAGACGTTGCTTCCCTTCTTGCATTCAAACAGCATTACATTCCGAATGTGTGTCTCGTCGTGTGCCATCATTATAAGAGATTAGAGTATACTAAACTTTACACATTATATAGGCTACACTAACGTGACGCTTAGGCGATTTGTTTAACTATTATACGTGATGTACGTTTTTTTGGGGGGTGGTTAATAAAAGTGTGCCAAAACGCGACATTAATTTCTTAACGACCTAATAAAATGATATTGAATACGTAAATTACGTGACAGTCACAAAAGCTGTAAAGTCACGGTTTAACATAATGCATCAGAACTACGTTTTCTTATTGTTTTGTGGTTACTAGGTAGTTTGAAGCCACATGGGAAGAGTGTTTAACAGCTTTTGCCGACGCAAGATATCCATACAGTCTGATCATAAATATGTATTTAGATCGGGGATTTAAATTTTCCAAGGCAGGACTATCTGTTGTACTTAATATGTATTTAGATCGGGGACTTAAACTTTCCAAGACAGGACTATCTATCGTACTTAATATGTATTTAGATCGGGGATTTAAACTGTCCAAGACAGGACTATCTATTGTACTTAATGGCATTGGAAAACAAAGAAATATGGATCAATTTTGGAAACAAGGACTACCCAGAAAGAGACCTGCAAATGCGGCGTCTTGTAACAGATGAGAACCCACAAACACAGACATTCACCAGGAAACAATACGAAACATAATTAAGAAGAATCTCGGTATGGAGAAGTGTCGCAAGCCACGTTCACGATATATCTATTCAACTATCTCGTTGAATTTCAGTGCGTTTGAACTGTTGGAACGGACGCTTGAAAATAGTTGTATTTGTACACTACGTGGATTATGGAAAACCTGCAGAGATGAGTGATGTGTTTTAAACGTTACAGCTTTTTGCAGTGGAAACTTCACTGCATGGCTATCGCTAATATGCTCGTCATCAGATAGGACATGTCGACGATATTTTAGTTTTATCAAGAATGGTTAACTTTCATCAATTTGGTGGTTGTTCTTAATAATATGACATACCTTATAAAAAATCTAAAAGAATCAGGATAATTCCATACTTAAAATATATGTTGGAATCATTGGTACGAGCTTCAATATTTTATAAAAAATAATTGGAAACTGACAGTTTAATAGAAGTTGGCCAAGTAAAGAAAGTTTGTACAGAGTATATTTCAAATGACTAGATTTTCTTTGGTAAATTCTACTTAAAAAACAAAATTTTTCATAGGTATCTTCGTTTAAATCTTGTTATTGAAATTAAAGAATAATGACATAGTAAACAAGTTACAGCAATTTTGTAACACGAACTGTTAATGACTCACTATTTGTAGTTTGTATTATCAGTTGAACTTATTATTTAGATCTGTTTTATACAAACATTTCTGTATCTATAAACTGTTCAGCGCGAGAGTTACTTTGTTGATTTTTTTTTCATAAGCAAGAACAAGTGTCCTACCACAGATAATGATAAAACAGATGAGGCTAAGTTGTCACGTTAGCTAGCCCCTAAATGCCTAAATTTTTAATGAATTTTCTAAGATGTTTTGTAGGTTATATTCAGAAGCATAAATAACAGCGAGGTTGCCAATTTACTGAATCTTTGTAATCAAATCAAAGTGAATTATAAAAATCCCAACCGATTCTTACTGTGATTAGAGTTTATCTTAGTTCTGACGCTTCAGACTTGTCTTTCACACCATATTTTTGTTACTGACTTAGCCTAAATATTACACAGCTGTAACTTGTAATATAATATAATTAATCAGTAAGGAAACTATTATTTCAAATTATTTCCATAAAAATGTATTTTAGTTTTACCAAGAGCTATTGATTAGAACTAAAACTGTCACATGTTTAAACATCATAGAAAGATACCAGCCTCCATTATTTGGACATAACTTACTAAAAGGTGAAATGCAGGTGTTTTTTAACTGTTAGTCATACCTGTGTAAAGACATCTATCGGCTGTTTTCTAAATTGAAGAAAGGCATAAAAACGAATGCCCACTGCCACCAGGTGCTGAGAAGCAAACCACTTAATACCTTGTGTGATTAATTCCCAATATGCACTTTTTACGTCATTTATTCAAACAACAACAAAAAGACAATTCTTAAAAGCTAATCCGACATTTGATCGCGCTTAGGTTGATTTGTACAGCTAATAATGACCAACGAGTTTGTGTATTAAAGTAACAAATAGCTAAAAGATAATAAACCCGGCTTATTCTCTTCATCATTACAAACACATGTATTGTTTTAAATCAACAGCTAGTTCGCAAGAAATGACACGAATATACAGTTTTCACTCAGCTTTGAAAATGTGATTAGTTGCACTTCACATGTTATTCCCAACCAAGTATAGACCATTTTTTTTGTCCTCCGGTAGGACAGCGGTGAGTTTCTGGGCTTACAACGCTAAAATCTGG